TCACTAGAGACTGGCTCTAGTCAATTAAATCTACAACAGCTAGTCTAAGCCACGTAGGAATGTGTAGACTTCTTAACTGGTTGGTTGGGGTCCTCGGGACGGTAAAAACCAATGACAGCTCGAGACAATAGGTGATATGGCTCAAAGTCGTTTTAAATGGCTGGCTAGCGCATATTCATCCACTCCTTGTGACTTATGATTTCCAATGAAACCACATCGCTCTTCGTTATTACTATTCCCGTTGTCTCATATCCCTGTCTACTGTCTCTATTATGCATTTCTTCTACTTTCTTCTCTTGCTTTGTGTAGTACATGGAGAGAGTGTGGCGACTTGAACTGGTTCACATCTGTGCAAAGTTCTCTGTCGAAAACAGACGCACAGACAGAGACTGGCTCTATTTAAGTAGTTAACCTGGGGTTCCAGTCTGTCTGTCTGTTTTCGACATAGAACTTTGCACAAATGTACGGAAGTTCAAGTCGCCACATTCCGTGTAGCACGCTATGTCATGAATTCGTAAAAGTTACCATTCATGGTCTGGCCATTGGATCAGGTCCCAGTGGCTAATGAATGGTCTACGAGTTCACTAGCCTTGTAACCAGAAGGTCCTAGGTTCGAACCCTGGTAGTGGAGTGGGGGCGTACTGCTGGAGAGTCCCAAACTAGGCTTACGAAATAGCCGTCCAGTACTCCAGTTCTGGTTTTCCAATGATTCCCTAACTGATGTCAGCTCATGATGAAACCCTCCAACCAACCAAATATTGATTCATTAATTTCATTTTTATAAAATATAAAAAACAAACGACTTTGCACTATTGGTAACTGAAAACGTGTCAATTTCTGTTCTCCTCTCAGTGCCAAAGAAAATACAATAGAAACAAAGACAACTGGTCATTTTGCTTTCCGTGTGTGTGTGTCTATATGTGTGTACGTGGAGAGAATAAACAACTAAACACTCTAGTAAACTATAATTCAAAGGCACAATTACTAATGAATTAAATAAACACATTTTCAAGTGTTGGTGGTTTCCAGGATTGAGCACAACTTGACATCAGTTACAGAACCATTGGAAAACCTGCAGGGAGTACTGGACAGCTACTCCATCCTTGAACCATTGGCCCTATGTTTAAACCTCGGTGGGTGTATACCGCTGAAGAGTCGCAAACTAGGTCGAAAACAGCTATCCAATCATCTTTTTATGGTTTCCAGTGATTCTCCCACTAATGGTGGTCGAATATGAGATCTATTCAAGTCCCTATAATATCGGCGCGTTACGCACACTCATATTTGTGATTATAGCATTGAAATGTTTTACAAAAATAAAAACTGAACAGATGGATAATGATGATGATGATGATAATTTGCTCTATGCCAAAAACAGAACTAATGATACATACAGCAAGGAATTTTCAGCATTCAGTACAATATTGCATCTCTAATTTGCTCAAAAAACGACAAAAAGTATTATAAAAGTAAGCATTACAAAATAATAATGTAGCTACATAGCAAATTACTGTATGCAATACGGAGAAAAATATGCATAAAGTTCAAAATTGTAGTAATAAAAGTAATAGCAACTAAAATAAAATAGCAGAGTAACAATTAAACGATAGAAAGTGTGACACCATATAATACAGAAAGATGAACAATGAAAGGGTCGATTTACTGTGCTAATTACATAGTAACTTTTATGTTTCACGTCTAACATAGTCTTCGTCACATAAAGTACGGGCTAAATAGGGTATTGTAGAATTTCTATACTTAGTGGTACGAGCATATAACTTTTTATATTGACTTCTCATCCTACCTGATGAGATACAAGGGGATAGGTGTGAATAAAGGGGATGCAGAAGGTCTGACAGTATAGCCTTTGCCCATTTGTTACAGGAATTTATGTGCCTCTAGACTATAGTATTGGCGAGCTCACGCAGTGGCAGACCACAAGCCCTACTCAGAGCATTTAATACTCTTCGTAATATGATATAGTCTTTTTTGAGAAGCCCAGGAAAGATTAATGAAGAGCGATAGAGGTATATACGCATTCGTACTCTAGGCATGTTTCTACAGCAAAACACACATATCCAAATACCCGAAAAGTATAAGTGATAGAGATAGTTTCAAAAATCTATACGAGTGATATATCACATGAAAAAACTTTTTTTCATAGGTTATCACACTAAAGTTGTGAACAGAGAGAGAGAGGGAGAGATAAAGGGAGAAAATACGAAAACACGTACCGTTTTATTTTTCTTTCTTTTTTGTATGCTGTTATCGAATATATATATATATATAAAATTTAACCGTTTGTACATTACATAGCATTACATTAGATTATGTGTGATCGATATGTGTGTGTGTAACTTTATACACATTCATTGGGTTTAGACAATCAATGATCGTCATCAAACACACTCAAGTCTTCGATTTATTATTTGTGTCTGCTATGATATATACTACCATTAGTATATAAGATAGACACTTATTGTCAGTCAGTTGATAAGAGAGTGTGGTTCGAGGCCTGGATTCATCTTAATCGATTGATGCCTGATAGAATTGCAGTAGACATATAGTAAAAGATTCCTTTAAAAATATTCAAAACTGTAACATACTTAGCTTTGATATGCCATACAACTTTTCATCAAACAGGACTTTATCCTTATTGATCATAAGTATAAAACTTGGACACTATGGTAGCCGATATCTTTATGGAAGATAATTGGGAAAATATTGCTCTTAATACATTTAATCCTACTCCCAAAATTTAGTGAAGATGTGTGGATGACACATTCACTCACTGTGTTAAAAACAGAACATATCTCTGTCTAGCTTCTTGACACATGCATAAATAAACTCACTAGTGGAGCGAATAAAATTCAAATTTGAATCAGAAAATCAACAAGGAGAAATAGCTGTGAAGTTAGATGAAATGAAACAGATAGAAGAAGAGAAAGCGTTGGTGTTAAATAACTAACTAGCCTATAAAATTCATTAGGAAGATCTGGAAAAAGTCAAGGACAAAATAAAAATAATCGGGAAACTAATAATGATAACATAAATAAGACAGAATATAAGTCATCTACTGTTATACCATATAAGGAGACAGGGGACATCTGAGGCCCTACGTGGTAGGATTATCAATAAAACAGGAATTAGGGTGGCTGCATTCAAACTTACAAACTCACTCAGGGAGAACAAACTCTGTGGGCTATCGAACCCTGTAGGTTGACCCAATTACACAAAATAATATAATTTACAAAATACCTTGCAATGACTGTGAGTGACGTCAACTACATAGGTCAAACCAGTACACACGGTGCGGGTAGTCAGATTGACAGAACATACGAATTTAGTTAAGGTTAGAATGATTGACTCCACGTAGATAAGGAGTATAGGAAAAGACTGAACAGTTGCATTGAGTGCAGACAATATGGCAGGACAGAGTTACAATTCTAAAGGGTAATATAGGTAGGTTGAAAGAGAGAGAGAGAGGTTGATCACTGAATCTTTGTTCATCGAGTCTAATCCCAACACAACACATGCAACAGAAGTGACTCCATGCAAATACCAGAGATATGGTTATTACCAGTCAAATCACAGGATAATAAATAAATAACGTTAAAATGTATTCAATTCACATTATAACACTCGTCTTATTTCCCATTTGATTGTATTTGATTGATAATACTAATATATAATATAGTAACAAATAGAATATCAACTAAAATTAAGGAAATTTCTACGGAAAATTAAGGATCATTCGAACCTAGATGGCCAAGGTAAGGACAATGTCTGAACTAGCTTCTTGTTTTGGACGCATAAATTAGGCTTCTTAATGTGGATCCCAACATCCGGCCTCGGCACTATTTGGTAAATGAACTCTCAAGGCGAAGTTAAGATTTGTTGGTATGTGGTAAATGACTTTGAAAACCTCGTTGACATTAATCTTGTGTTATGTATCCACAAGATGAGATAGAATAGCGCTAGGGATAGATTTTATTTTTGTCCTTTACTTAACTACCACGCAGGATGATGTTCGGAAACCCAACGGGGAAACACGCCTGATTGCACGGCCTATGCAACTAACAGGAGCAGTTAAATTAGTAGATATACATGGAAGAGGCGAAATTAGACAGTTTATCTTTTACTCTCGAACGCAGAAGAGGAGCGGTTTTAAAGATACAGCGTAAGTCACCAGCAGGGAATGCTATTTTTACCGCATTTTCAAGGCGTTGTGTTAGTATCTCGCTGATGTTGTACCCGAGGAATTGAATTTGTAAAAAATAAGGCCTTTTTAGGAACTGTCGGTACCTTGAGCTGCTACGATTTTAGATTCATATTCTTATCAATAAACTTCTCTGGATAACCATTTCCACCCAGCAACCGTTTAATATTATTCAATTCCTCATCAAGACATTCATCCGAGCATAATGCTCTTGCTCTGTGAACTAAACACTTTACCAGATTGTGTTTGTATTTCAAGGGCACAAAACTGAAAAAATGAGTATACTGACAGTCAGTCAGTTGATGCAAGTTTTCTACATACATTTCTTCTTATTGTGCCATCCTCTAATCTAGTCATAAAGACGTGTTGAAATGAAATATTAGTTTTTTTTTTCTTTCTCAATAGTAAAATTTATTGCAGGATGAAAGTCGTCAAATTTATCCACGATGTTCTTTGCTTCGTTTTCATTATTCATAATTGAAAATGTATCATCTATGTACCGACAAAAGAATTCAAGCTCATCAATTACACCTTTCAAAGGCCCATTTTCTAGTTTCGCAAGGAAAATGTCGGTTAGAATAGGTCCTAGTGGTGACCTCATTGCCACACCATCGATTTGTATATATGGTTCCTTATAAAATAAACAAGTGGACATTCAATGTACATTTCAACAATTCTGTTTCAAATGATCTTATACATTATTAATAATGAAAAACAGATCGTCAAGAACAAATAATAATTACAATACTATAAATAGAAGAAATTCACTAATATCACTTACTAAACGATCATACAATGAAAGTCGTTCATCATTCATTGTAAGGCTAAAAATGAAAGGTGAAAAAAACCAAAAGATAAAAATCCCCTTTTTCAAAAGAAATCAAAACAAAATCGACATTATTACTACTACTGCTAATAATAATAATAATAATACAAATAAAGCGCTTTATTTCAAACAACATGTGAACAAATAGTACAAAAATTCCCAGAGTATTTACTCCCAAATATTCCTCTTCCAACGGCATTTATATGTAAAGTAATAATTTGAAGTATGTCATCTGACTTAGCATTGTTGCATATATGAAGAGACAGGAAGATAACCAATTCTGTACAATTTCTCTTCATTTCCTTCAAGAAGTGCACAGTATTTAGTGGAAAGTTAATTGAATATGCGCGCAAGTTCATGTAGTCGTCATTTGATATAATTGCACGTCCTGAGTTCGAACTCTAGCAGTGGGGTGAGTGTGTACTACTGAAGAGTTCCAAACTGGGCTGACGAAACAGCTATCCAGTAACTCCAGCGCTGGTTTCCCAATGATTCTCTAACTGATGTCAGCTCATGGTGAAATCCTTCAACCAATCAAACAATAATCCCTACAAAAATCAATACTTGAAAATTAATCTGATGCTCACTAGAGACTGGCTCTATTTAAGCAGTTAGCCTACGGTGACCAGTAGGGTACAGAAGGTTGAAGATGACGCAGTAACTAATAGAAGAAGACCTTACGAAGTGGTCACGCTATGTCGTGAATTGGTAGGAGTTAGAATTCATGGGCTGGCTGGCCATTGGATTGGGTCCCAGTGGCTAGTGAATGGTCTACGAGCTCGCTAGCCTTGTAACCAGAAGGTCGTGGGTTCAAATCCCTATGGTGGGTGCATACTGCTGGAGAGTCCCAAACAAAATTTACGAAATAGCCGTCTAGTACTCCAGTTCTGGTTTTCCAATGGTTCTCTAACTGATATCAGCTCATGATGAAATCCTCCAGCCAATCAAATGCATAAGAGTTTAAGCATTCTGATGAATGGAAATTATGGTAGCTCAGTGATTTAAGCAGGCCACCGTGCCATGTACAAATCCCTCTAAATGTAAATAACCATTGAGAATATAATCTGACATAGCCATTGACTGTATTATTAATCTAATCACAGCAATCCCTAAAGGTGAAAGAAGTCTGGAACGAGTAGGCCAACCTCTAAATTAGAAGTCTAGCAATCTACCAAATGAGTTACCAGATTCAACTGCTTAACCACCACCACCACCATCATCAATACCAAAAGCAATAACCGCCTGCTACTTCAAAACTATCTCGGAAAATCTCACCATCATTTCACGATCTCTACTCGTTTTTATCTAATTCGATTCAGTATGATCAGGATTTTTAAGAGTATTGTAGGTTTGCAGGGATTTGATAGTTTTCAAATTACACTAGAAGAGCTGAAATCAATAGAAAAACCACAGAAAACTAGGAAGTACTGGACAGCACTGCTTAGTCCTAGTTATTCTGGAATTGTTCAGTGCTATCCAACCATAATCTTAGCGACAATCGAATCCAGGTTACGAGGACAGCCCGTTAGACATTCACAGTCACTGGAGGGGGGGTGAGGGGAGCTGGAATTCAAAAACCCATGAATTCAAACTTCTGCCAATGAATGTCGTGGGTAAGCTTCTTTTTTTCGACTATAATAATAATAATAGCTTTATTCTGAAAAATTCGTGTGTATACACAATACAGAATTTGCAGCAAGTTTCTTATTACAAGGTATTTTTACTCCTGGTGCAGAATCTTCAGGTAATTACAATAAACAATCATATATCATCAAATGAAGCGATGCTGTTTTCTCCGTGGCATCCTCCAACCACCATCTACAATATCCCCCTCCATTCGCGTTAGAAAATTCGTAGCAGTAGGTTGGCACCTACTTGAAAGTATATCGGAGTACATATTATTGATTTTCCGACATAATTGCATGATTGAAACACAATATGAAATAGAGTAAACACTGGGAATCTAGATGGATAGAAAATTGTGGTAGCCCAATGATTTAGGGAGGCCGTCGAACAGCAGTGTGTGTGACACGAGAATACCTACACCTATCCAGGCAGCCAATGTAATGATGATTAAAGCAGAATTACGCATCATCCATTGACATGACATCTGGACGGATCCGAAAAGCTCGAGCTGCTTTCTCTGACTTACACCATCTCTGGCGTAGGCGTGACATCCGGTTATCAACCAAGGGACGTGTGTACTGCTCATCAGTTCGCTCCGTCCTTCTCTATGACTCTGAAACATGGCCAATACGCGTTGAAGACATGAAAAGGTTGACTGCTTTCGATCATAGATGTCTGCAATCTCTGTCTCACGTTAGGTGGTTTCACAAGATAAGTAATGTTGACGTTAGGCGTAGAGTGTTGGGCAAAGAGGGAAAATCAATCGACGAGGCTATAAAGTTACATAGACTAAGATGGCTAGGTCACGTGCTGCGCATGCCTAACCACCGCCTCCCCCGACGGTCATTACTAGCTGATATAGGTGCAGGTCGGAAAAGAGCCAGTGGTGGCCAAACAAAAACATGGCCCCATCAATCCATGAAATCCTTGACAGTTAAACTGAGTCAGGTAGGGAGATGCAGACGCCCGGGTTGGGGCCTTCGGGACTGACTCTAGGAATCAATGGCTGGAGACAATAGGTGACATGGCTCAAAATCGTTGTCAATGGCCAGCGCAGATGTATTCAGTCTCTGTAATCTTTCGTATTCCTTTATACCATTACCCATTCTGTTTCACTCTTATACTTGTCAAACTCTATTGATTCTCTTCACTCATCTTCTTGTCTACCTCTGTGCTATTTGGAAGGTGGCAACTCGAACTGCTGCACTTCGGTGCCAAGTTCTATGTTGAATCCAGACAGACAGACAAACAGACTAGTGAAAACTATCACTCACACCTTATAAGTTGTTTTTTTTTTCATTCCTTCACGTTCCCAGTGGAACATAGGGCTTCGTTCAACCCCTTCAACTTGCATGGTCTTAATCCCTCTACGCTAAAGTATGGTAATCCTAAATCATATTTTAGCTCCACCAATTTTTCATTTTTTCATTTTGTCTATTCAATTTGTATACTCTTCCTTATTATGTCAATTGTTACTACTATTACTATTCTCACTTTCAGTATTATTTCACTTGTTCCATTTGTCATTCCAAATCAATTCTTTTTTACAACGCTAAATTCTATGCTATCAAATTCCACACAATATTACGTAACGTTTCTATTTTATTCGATTTGTCTACCAATCCTATAATTGCACACCCTTTTTTCAAGTTCTATATATCCTATGAATTATTCTATATATGACATTAATATACTTTGCCGCTTGACATTTAACTACGACTATAATCACAAACATTTTAGTTTTTAATTGCATTTCATACAACTATTATTATCATTTTTATGCATTCACACCTATGATTCAATCTCCTAAGCGGATATAACTTCTTAAAAACCACCATATATATATACGATTGTATAGCTTGATGATAAATTCGTTGAAAAGGTTCTCTTCGCTGAATCACTTGTTTTGATTTTCTACATGAAACTTGTAACTTGTTATATAATTTAGCAGAATAAATGGCTATTGTAGTAAGTGGTGTAATGTGTGTGCCTAGTCCTTTGCATGTTTGCTGAAGACTGAATTCTATCAGTTAGTCAGGTTTGTAATGTGACCAGCATGCCACTAGGTGACTAGCCATCATGGTGCACTTTGAATGAATTGAGTTGTTGACATTAGATGTTTGGCGACAGTCAATCAGTCAGTCAGTCAGTCAGCAGGAAGCCTTGACTACACCTAGGTTTCATGCTGGTCGACACTCACCAATCAATAAAGGCGAATCTGTAACCTTGGAAGAACCATCTTACCATCCAACCATCTAATATTAACAATTCAAAGTGTACCATGATGGCAAGCCACCTAGTGACATGCTGTCCAAATTACAAACTTGACTAACTCATAGAATTCATTACAGGATTTCATCATGAGCTGATATCATTTAGAGAACTCATTAGAAAACCTAGGAGTACTGGACAGCTGTTTCGTCCTAGTGTCTTGGAACTCTACGTCAGGGGTTTGAACCCAGGACCTTCTGGTTACAAGGCCAATTAGCTCGTAGATCATTAAGCCACCGGGACCCGATCCAATGGCGGTCGCGCTATGTCGTGAATTGGTAGAAGTTAGCATTCATAGTCTGACCATTGGATCGGGTCCAAGTGGCTAATCAATGGTCTACGAGCTCACTAGCCTTGAAAATAGAAGGTCCTAGGTTCGAACCCTGGTAGTGTGGGGTGGGGGCGTATTGCTGGAGAGTCCCAAACTAGACATATGAAACAGCTGTCCAGTACTCCAGTTCTAGTTTACCAATAATTCTCTAACTGATGTCAACTAATGATAAAATCCTCTAAACAACCAAACAAAATTCCCTACCAGAACCCATCACTTCATAGAATTCAGTCTGCAGTAGACAAACAAAGGACACTAGACACGCACATGACACCCCTTACCACTAACTAGTGCTCAGTCAAAGAAATCTATATTGAAATTCCTCCAAATCTAAATACACCAACAAAAAACACAACCTACAGTCTAAACATAACAGCCTTGTAGTCAAACAATTCAATGGATGAGTCAGATTGCATGTATGTAACTGTTGTATATTTACTTATTTGAAATTCATGGTGACATTGTTTCAATTAATTTTATAATTTTAGTTGCTATTATTATTATCATTTTGTACTTTTGCATATATTTTTTTCAATTTATTGTTACTATCAATGCCACATAGTTGCGCTAAAATCAATTTTGTAATGTTTGTTTTTTTTGAGCTGAGAAAATTCTATGCTGCATCATCGTTACATTATTTTGATCCAACTTGAAAAAACAGATCAAATGCCTACTACAAATCACTGGATACAGGACGGAGTTTCCAGGGAATAATCTCCTTGACTTAGAATATGCAGATGATATAGTCCTCCCTCCTAGGTGAAGACTCT